TACCCCTTCTCCCGGCAGAAGCAGTTCATCTTGACGGCAGACAACCACAATTCTGTAAATGGAATCCGGGAGTACGCTCGAGCAAAGCATGCACGCACCGTCTATGTGCCTGTGCAGTCCCCGGAGCTCCGAGTCAGTCCGGCTACTTTGGCATCAGTCCTCGGCGGCCACTGGTGGGAGTGGGGACGAGACCGACTAGCATTGACTAAAGGAGGCCGTCCGAACCGTGATCGGGGACTATTTGCCTATCCAGCCCAGAGCAACTTTAGTGGAGTCCGCCATCCTCTCGAATGGGTGACATTGGCTCAACAATGTGGCTTTGATGTGCTCCTAGACGCTGCGGCATATCTGCCTACCCAGAAGTTGGATCTGTCTCCCAAGAACCCCCAGCCTGACTTTGTCATGGTCAGCTGGTACAAACTCTTCGGCTACCCCACCGGTCTGGGCTGTCTGATTGCTCGTCGCGATGCTCTTAGTCGCCTCTCACGGCCCTGGTTCTCTGGAGGGACAGTCAAGACAGTGGGGGTCGCGCTGACCTGGCACGTCATGGCCGCCGACGAGGCCGGGTTTGAGGATGGCACCCTGAATTTCCTGTCTATTCCGGATGTCCAAGTGGGTCTGGAATGGCTGGAGCGCGTGAACATGTCTTTGATCTCCACCCGAGTGCGCTGCCTTACGGGCTGGTTCCTCCAGCGGCTGCTTGAACTCCGTCACAGCGACGGTTCCCCCATGGCCGAAGTTTACGGGCCCACCGACCTCAAGCGTCGCGGCGGCACCATTTGCTTCAACTTCCTGGACGCCAAAGGAGATATTGTGGATGAGCGGATTGTGGGGCAGGAATCAGCAGCTGCCTCGATCTCTCTGCGCACTGGCTGTTTCTGCAATCCAGGGCCTGCGGAGAAGGCTCTACGGATTGATACGCGGCCGCTGCGGCGCGTGCGACGTCGTCTCCGCAAGGGCCTAATTGAGATGGACACCATCATCAACATTGGTCGTCTTCCGTCGGGAGGGGCCATCCGGGTATCGTTTGGCGTGGCTTCGAATACAGCAGATGTAGATCGGTTTTTCGACTTCGCTACCAAAACCTACCGGGACCGGGTGCCTGACACCAGTGGACTTAGCCCGCGTGATGGGTGCTAGTGGGGTATGAATGTGGATGTGTACATGTTTATCGAGCCATTCTGTTGTCGTAATGTTCTGTGTATAGCTGTCATACAGATTATAGTGTTTAGAGTAACGGTGTTCTAATTGGTCTTTGCACTCCTGCACTATTGATCGTATTCCCTGCTAGGGCGAGTTCGTCTTACTAGGACGGGGACCAATATTTGGGTCATCGTAGTCTCACCCGGTTAAACGCCCCCCACGCATGTGAATCTGTCTTAGATCGGCTATCTGGCCGGGCAGTACTAGCGATCCCACTATGCTTGATGCAGACGAACCAAGAGGGGCGCGGATGGCTCGGGGCCGAGACGAATATAGGGCACCTCGAACCGGGGGGGCAGCAGAAGCAGCTAGTAGGGCACGATGGTGTTCCTTCGGTCTGGGGCTCCATCCAATCAGCTCATCTATCTGATGTATCTGGGCTAGCTGAGACAAAGCCAAGGATCCTGAATAAAGCTATTGATGTGATGAAAAAGTGAATTCCTGTTCCTCCTCTATAATGCACAGCCACATATTGATCTACATGCGCCACAGCCTCGTGGGCGTTGCTTTTTGCTGCTGCCGATCCTCTCGATCGCATCCGCCGCGACCCATGATGTGATTTACTTTACGTTGCATGAACCCGTGTCTTTCCCTTCCCCACTTGAATGAACCGGTTTCGACCTGGTTCTTCCATCATCTGGAGGGGTTGAACCCCGAGAGTCCCCCGAAGGATCTGAGATTCGATATTTTGTGGCGGTGCTGGGTATCGACGATCCCCTCCTCCTCTATCTTGCTCATGCAGGGATAATTACTCCATCCCGCTATTACCTTGTAGTTTTAAATGTTCAGCCCTGACACATGTCTTACTTGCTTGCTTGCCCAGCATAATCTACACGGAGTAACTCTCTCAGCTGTCCAGCACTCCATCAGCTCAGCCTTTCCACCTCCCTGCTGACCCACCATACCGAAACAGGGCATCGGTCCCTGCCAAGACCTGGCAATGGCTTCCTTTTCTCCTGCTGGGCGCTTGTTCCCGATCCCCCGATCGAGCGCATCGCATGTAACCTGCTGGTGTCTCGGGGGATCATCGGGTATCAGCTGTCAGCCGCAGAACATGCAGCTCCCCAATGATGAATGTGTAGATAACCTTATGCGGCTAATCATGCAGTTTGCTGCCTTCGTTGCCTAGCACCTGGATTGCCTTTGTTGCCTTCGCTTGCAGGCCGTGATCCTCGGATACGAACTATCCGTGTAGCCTCGACGCGTCAGCTTGGAGGTATGGGTGGTTCGTGTGCGTGTGGATGGCTGAGGTTGTGGTCTAGGTACTGTGGCAAGCTTTTCTGCGGCTGGGACGGCATCTCTTGCCCTCTGGGATGTTGTCGTCATCGGTAAGTGTCTAGTCTCCCTGGTAGAGATATAATATAGTATATTATACTCTTATCCCTGAGTGATATTATGCCAATGCTAAGGCTTCTACACTATTAGTCGTAGTCAGTGAGTGGTCCGTCAGATGGAACATGGTACCCTAACCCGCCCGACATGCTTGCGCGAAGGACACCCTTTCATATTGCCCATACCCATTGCCCACCCTCATCAATGCATTTCTCGGTCAACTACATCTCAATATACAAAGATATCATATCCAAAGCATCCCAGTATCCCGTAGACCCTAGTTCGATGATAGATCGTATAAGGAGCATCCCCGTTCCCCACCGCAGTTTCAGGAGGTTTCATCTAGAAACACCCGATATTAAGCTTAACCTTTTATAACCCGATCCTGATCCCATGCACTTTTCCTCACTGTAACTTCCTCCACACCTGGCGTGTTATTCATTCATTCAACCATACATACATACATTCTTTACCATTCAACTTCGTCCGCTCTTTCAGAAAAACATATAGTGAAAATGTTCGCCCCAACCACCCTCCTCCCCCTCCTCGCCTCCTCAGCGCTGGCGCTGCCCGCCCTCACCACCCGCGCCGAAACTCAGTCCTCCACCTCTCTCTGCGGCGACTACGACTACATCATCCTCCAGGACTCGCCATGGATCGTATACAACATGCTCTACAACGCCGACGAGATCGTCGGTACCCAGTGCACCGACTACGGCGAGATGACTACCTCCACGAACGGCACGAAGGAGGTTGTATGGAGTAGTGTGACTGATATCGAATATGTCGAGAGCACGTAAGCCATCTCCCTCCCTCCCTCCCTCCCTCAATTCCTTGTTCCTAAATATTTCTAATGATTGTACAGCAACAATGTCCCGAAGGGATACTCCTTCGTCGGACTAACCCAGAACCTGGAGACCAAGATCTCCGCCATCGAGTCCATTCCGGCGGAATATACTTGGTCGAGAACGAATTCTACTGCCTTCAAGGGTACATACCTTACCTCACCCACCATCCTGATAATCAAAATACTAATAATAATGATGATGGAAATGGTACAGGCAACGTCTGCTTCGACTTCATCACCTCCCCCACAAAGGGCGACTCCACCTCCACCTCCGCCCACGAACTCATGCTCTGGCTTCAATACGAGGGTGGACAGCTCCCTATCGGCTGGACCAACGGGGCCGTCGCCACGATTGATAACCTCTTCGGCACGTCCTGGAAGCTGTACGAGGATGTGAATGAGGATTCGGGCGTCACTGTCAGCTCGTTGTTGCCTGATACCCAGTTCGAGGGCTCCTTTGAGGGTGATCTTAAGGAGTGGTTGTTGGAGTTGGTTCAATTGGGCAAGTTTACGAAGGAGGCGTATGTGAATGTTGGGAATGGAGGGTGAGTTTTGATTCCTTTCTTTTGAGAAGATGGGTTGGTTGAAGAGAAGCAAGCTAATGTGTGGTGTGTGTGGTTTAGGACGGAGTTCTTCTACGGTAACTCCGTTATGAATGCTACCTTGGGGTTGCAGATTAACCTGGATTAAATTGAATCCAAAAGATGTATATATTCGAGGGAGAGTCTTGCGGGATGGATGCACTTCCATTTTGTGAGAGAGTAAGAGTGTTGGGGCTTGAATTTTGGATTTTATCCACCCTCGGACTGGACTCTATGGCTAGTCTTGTGTAACCATGCAGCTGTCATACATTTACCCTTGACTAAGTCCAATCTAAAGTGCCAACCTTATATGTTAACCTTATTGCGTAGGTTGCTTATTGTAACACAAAATCAATAGTCGCTCAACAAACGGGTGTTTTTTGCTGGGTTATTTGTTGGAAAAGTCAGGTATTGTGTTTATGATTTTAATCTGCTATTCTTTGTAAGTAGAACCAACAAAAGAGAAACATAACAAAGACAATAGATAACAACAATTGAGTAAGTCTTTGTAGTAGAATATCCATCAAAGATTATATTAACATATATTCTTTCAGCCTATTACCATCTGATTAAATTACTACTTCCGTGAATTTATCATCAGTATACGTTATAACCCAATTCATCATGGATATATTTCCATTCGGACGAGAGGAATGACAAGTGGTAAAAGAGGAGACTAGCCCTTGATTAAGATCATGAAAGGACTAAATTTCTATGTATAAGTATAGATGAGGCGGTAATAAGAACCAACTAACAAAGACTGCTATGACCGTAGACTAGCATCGGAACAAATCCGTGGCCACGCTGACTTGGTCGGTTCGTTCCAGAGTGGCATACAGTTACTCGGCTTGACTGTGTCTAAAGTTTGGCCCCACGTTGAGCCAATTTTGGTTGAAGAGATTAAGTTCGCGGGAAAGTGTCATTACGTCTCGTGCCGTGGGATTAATATCTAGATGTGAGAGTTGCTGGATGATATATTATTGGTTATTGATGGTAAACAACCCTCTTCCTCAGTTCACATATAGAGTAGCGAATTATGATAGTTGTCAAATACTGCGATTCACATTCTGATAGCATAAACATAACATCTAAAGTACGAATTACTTAATTACTACATCCGCCTCACTCCCAATCTACATGGCAGCTGTAGGCTTACCCTCTCGACGATTCGACTGCTCAATCCCAATCTCCGGCAATGCAAGGGTAGTAAACCTTTCCATATGATTGGCAACGTGGGGATACAACGAGTCAGGGCCCCGATTCTTATAGATGAGCTTCCGAGGGCAAAGCGGACATTGGCTGGGAACCTCTAACCGGGTGGTCGGTGTCGGACTCTTACTCTTGTTTCGATGAAACGAAGCAAGATGCTTGTCAAGATCGTTCTTGTTCGTGAACTCGCAACTGTTGCAGGACTTTCCCTGTGAAAGGCAAGCATCACACACCCCGTGCTCGACGGTCCCGAAATTCTCTTCGAGGTGGGCTGTTAGTTCAACGACGTTGGCAAATTCCTTCGGGTCTTCCTGCTTGCAGCATGACCAGAGACAGGCGAATGGTAGAAGATCGTTGTTTACATGTTCGCTATTTGTACAGTTAGCTGATAGATTCTTCTCTCGTTGTCGGGCAGCAAACTTACTACCAGGCTGTGCGCTCCGAGTCTGCCTCCAGGAGCATGTCACCGCAGTATGGGCATTGGAACGTGCGCTCCTGCCCCTCGATGGACTTTGGAGAAGGGGCCTTGGACCAAGAGGCAAGCTTCAACTGCCTCATTTCATCGGTGGATGGCAGCTGGGGTTGGAATACATTTGCCGGCGGGTTCTCGGATAGAATATCCTTTCCGTTACCGTCTCCAGTGCCAATTGCAGCCCGCGCGGTGGCCCGCTTCTCCGCTGCTTTTCGCGACAGGCTCAGCCGGTGGTGTCGGCGGAGTATGACGTAGATTAAGCGGTGTACTTGCTGTCGATGATCCTGTTCAAGATAAGCCAGCGCGGGTTTACCGCTGGGTAAGCCTTCACTAGCTCCTGCTTTGTACTGGGGGAAGTCGATGGAGTATCCGTGATGGTACTCCCGGATAAGATGCTTCTTCAAGCTGCGCAGGCCCTCAACATCCACATCACGGTAATACTTATGATCGGGGTCATCCAGCTTTTGATAGTCCACGTACGTGAACTTGGCTTTGGCTTCATAGTCGCGGGCGTCATTATAAAGATCTGCCATTCTTTCTGCGAGTAAACCGAGCTTCTCAAGACTCAGCTGGGCTTCCTTTAGTTTTTCGGTAAGTTTGGGCGCCCCCTCAGGCCTCACCGGCCGTTCAATTTTAGGGCCAAACTCATCCCAGCCGGGTTCTGATGACACGACATCTTCTTTGTTCTCATGGGACTGGTCAGCACAGCCTGGAAACAGACACTCCTCAGACTTAGTTGCTGTCTCAATACACTCATCCAGCCCCTCGATCAGCTGTTTCAAACGTCGAACGGCATGCAGTCGGACAAATTCGTCTGAATGCATGCCGCTGTCATCATAGATCCCGTTAGAGGTGGCGCAGATTCGGAGTTTCTGTCTCCAGTTCTTCTCAAAGTATGTCTTCATCTGTTCGACCCATTCTCTTAGCGTTGCGTGTTGCAGACAGTCGTTGAGTTTGTGTAGAGCCGAGATGGTCATCTCGCTGACCGAAGGGCTCTCCATTGTGATGTACAGGCTGTGTATAGTTGACGGAGAATCTTGATGGATAGCAATAAATCAGACAGATGGGTCAAGTAAGCCTGTACTTTGCTCTCTGTGTGTGGAGCAAGGTTGCGCGACTTATACACGAATGAGTACATCTTCTTCGCAAAGAGAAAACCAATGCAGGGACAAAGTTGGTGAGGAACAACGGTAACTTGCGAAATGAACAAAGAGCAGAAGTAGACTTAATTGTTGCATTACTGATTGCGAAAATGACTGGATCGACAATGTCTTCTTTGTTATTGTCGATGCAGCCGGTCGTGGTTGGACTATCCTTATCCAGCCCTCCTTTTCAACGGGGGGTTCCCATAAAATCATGATCGATTCAGTATGCATGAAACATTGTCTGGGGTTACATTTGAATTGAATGATATGTATACAATGCATGGCGACGACCCGTCTTCGGTTTGTTTGTTGACGGGAGCTTCAGTGCTGGCGCAGATTGTAGTTTTATCGTAAGCTCATGCCCATTGCTTCGTGAGAGTTTCTCGGGTGTCGGTCCACAGACATGGGACTTTCAGAGATGTACAACAAGATCGGTGTGCTTTTAGCTCATGACCGAGTGCGTCTCACTTGGTATTTTGAACTGTTTCATTTTCTTCTTCGAATCAACTCCGGCTATCTACTACCCGCCGGGCCGATGTGTACAATTGCGTGTTGGAAAGTTGGGCTGGAGCGGGCCCGCTTGGTGCAAGGCGAAATTCCATCAAGGCCTCAGGCTCACGAAGGCGCATAATCCCATCGATGTTGCATCTGCATCAAGATTCCTTCCACAAGCAAGATGATCGCTCAATTTTGTCCATTCGTATTTGTCTCGCCGTTGGGTTAGTCCGTCGAATCAATGGCGCGACTGATTTGGTCCAATCTGCTCCAAGCACAGCCTGAGGGCTGCACTGTGGTATGAGCCGTTGAATCTGCAAACGTGCCATAGGATCGATCTCTCGCGTCATGAAAGGTGAAGCTTGCAAGAGCAAAGCTAGTAGCGACATGACTTGCAAGAAGTGGTGGGTCAATTGTTGGATGTCAGAATCCCTACCAGTAGAAAGATGGCTCGGTCGTAACCAAGAGAAGACACCCAAGCCATCTCTTTGGCCCGGAAGGATTCAATCCGCCGGGCATCCGTGCACTCCTAGCCAATGAATACCAGAACAGCCTCATTCTCCCTCTGCTGATGATATCATAACCCTGAACCCCCCTGCGATATTATCTGCAAATCAAGAATTGTTCTTGTGCAGTTGGAGACATCCGGGGTACTGGTGCACTTGTTGGACCTCATGTAGGAGTATCTCGTTTAGGTTTGAAGATCACGCATTTCTTGAGGGAGCGATAACAGGTGGCCATCAAGAGTGGCATCAGAGGAGCATCTGATCTGTCACGGGTAGCATGATCCATGGAAATGAGATAAGCGAACCATCAAGTAGACAATGCGTGATCCGAGGCGACAGCTGAAGAATAACCAACTAGTTGTAGCCTGAAGGAATGTATGGACACGACGGAGAAAGAACGGAGCGGAATCTCCCTCATCCGCCCGGAAACCGATCCACGTGATTCGACCAGCAAAATAAGCAGCGGAGATAACAGCCGGCGATAATGTGTCACACACACAGTCAGTCTCGGCACATTCCGATGCGCAACTCAATTTTCCTCGTATTCCCTTTGCCTCTGCCTCGCCACCCGCCCATCTGAGATGCTTCATGGGGCCGGCTGGTGCGTCACCTCTCCATAGCCCAAACAGATCATCCAGATCACTTTACTTACCAAAAGCTGAAACCATTCTGATACCACTTTTTGTGTGCTTGGACACTTCCATTAAAGCTTTGGGCTTCACAGTGATGTCCACACTCTAGCATCTAATATGCCACGTTCAATTGGCAGGCCTTAACCATTCATATTACCGCTAAAGTATGGATCCTAGGGATGTTCTTCCTTTCCAGAACCATTCCTCCGGCCGGAGACCAGTCTATCTATCTAGCTGGATCCAGTAGAGACAAGCGGACACGATCCATCGGGCCCGAAACACCCACCGGGAGGCTCAACAGCAATAATAACAATCAAAGAGAAGACGGCTCGGACTCGGAGGGTGCTACTCCGGTGAAGAGAGAAGAAGGATATTCTATGCCGCCACTGTGATTTGTTGGTTGAGGTGGCGGGTACCTGCAGCACAGGCCGGTTCATTGTTCGCCCGCTCGCTTCTCAACAAGTGTTACAGAAAGTGGCCACGCACACCACACGGCACATTCCTAGCGAGATTGCCCACCCCCAGCAATTTCATGATCAACATGGTTATCAAGGCATTAGAGGGTGATTCGAATAAAAGTGCAATTAATGAAATAAATTTTGGTCTTTATCTACCCTGATAGAGCCATCGACAGAAATGCTTATCGACAGAAGCTGCGACAATATGGCGATCTTCTGCACGATAGTGGAATGCTTGCTGCACTTTAGCTTTAAGCTCCTGCACCGGTGAGGCGACCGGCTGCTGTCTAGGCCCCAACCTGCCTAGCGGATCCAGCTTCCAGATAGTGGGCGATGTGAGGGAGTGCAAATTTATCGTCACTAGATACTCCTTGGTCTAGTCTGGATGGACTGCCGAACAAGTGAGGAACGACAATTAGTCAAACCACATGGTTGATAGATAGATATCACCACCCATCGACCTATCTGCCGAGTATCTCCTCGTTTACCCACGCGGTTCTTCTGCGGGGAAGCGACCATCGGAGCTGGCAGGAGCTCTTGATGGCTGATGCCGTTCTGTCGGCAGACACGTCCGGACGGGGATGGGATGCACCGCGTCGCATCTGGCGCTACAAGTAGACTAAGCGGGATCCGAGGGGCGCTGGTAGCGACGGCGCTGTGCTTGGCGGAGCCCATCCATGGTTTCCCTGTGTCATCTTAAACTTCATGATTGGAGCGGACAGTCCGCCATCGGGGGGATGACCAATTATTCATGGTCATCAACCTCGGATGCGGTCCGATCAGCGAGTGTCCGGTGAGGAGAAGAACCGTTGCTTGTCTCAAAACGGTAGAAACATACGATGGGGCCCTTTTGGCTTGGGTTTCCCCACAAGCCCGGCCTCTGAATCAGTGTTGCCTTCCACTTCCACTCAGGTTCAGCTCTCCAGTCAATTGGTTGTCCCCAGAATTCCCGGCTTGTCAACTCGTGCCTGCCCGAAACTCAATCCTGTCTGTGCCTTTCAAATCACCATATATTATCCGCAGACTTTTCCCGAATCTTCCTTTTATACTCCCCCATCCCCCCCAGCTCCCCTTCTTTGCCTCCACTCTCCTCCTCCTTCTCTCTCCTCCTCTCCTCATCTTCCTTGTCTTCACCTCATCTTCTTCCTCTCCCGCCTCCCGCTCCTCCCCTTACCTTCCGCCTTTCAACACGGCCTGCACCCTTACACCTCACCACCATGGAGGCCGTTCACGACAGTCCCCCTCCCTACGCCACCGATGGCATTGACGAGAAGAAGGAGGATATCAGCCAGGTGGAGCAGAACCTCAAGCCGGGCCTGGAGGAGTCCGACGCTTTCGGTAATGAGGAGTTTGCGGAAATCAAGTACAAGACCTTGAAGTGGTGGTATGTATCCGCTCCCCGCCTCCCACCATCTCTCCGGAATTTCTGCTAACACATTCACAACAGGCAATGTGGACTGCGTATGCTTTCTTCCTACCTCTTCTCTGCATCACAAACTCTAATAATCCTTCCGCAGTCATGATTTGCGAGTCTGTCTCGCTGGGTGTGCTCTCGCTACCCGCCGCCGTTGCAACCCTGGGTTTCGTCCCGTAAGTCTAGCCGGATCGACGATGCAACCTCACAGTCCGCTAACTCCCATCCTTCAGGGCCATCATCCTCATCGTTGGTCTCGGAATTCTCGCGACCTACACCGGTTACAACATTGGATTGTTCAGAGAACGCTACCCCCACATTCAGAACCTCGCCGATGCGGGAGAAATCCTGATGGGCCCTTTTGGCCGTGAACTCTTCGGCCTGGGCCAGTTCCTCTTCTGCATCTTCGTCATGGGCAGCCACCTCCTGACCTTCCGTGTCATGATGAACACCATCACCGAACATGGCACCTGCTCCATCGTCTTCAGTGTGATCGGCATGGTCATTTCCATGGTCCTCTCCATTCCCCGTACCATGAAGGGCATGACCTGGATTTCCTTTGCCTGTGAGTACACTTCTCAATTGCCTGCGTACGAATCATGATCTGACTGGCATCTTGCCGTTTAGCTTTCCTCAGTATCTTCAGTGCTGTGATGATTACCATGATCGGTGTGGGTGTGGAGAAGCACCCCGGTCGCATCATCGAGGCCACTGTCGACACCAACCTCTACACGGCCTTCACCGCCGTCTCCAACATTGTCTTCGCCTACTGTGCGCACGTCGCTTTCTTCGGTCTTATCGCCGAGATGGAGCAGCCCAAGGACTTCAAGAAGTCGCTGTTCATGCTGCAGACCTTTGAAATCAGTCTGTACGTGACTGCTGCCTGCGTCATCTACTACTACGTCGGCAAGGATGTGCAATCTCCCGCTCTCAGCTCTGCTGGTCCTCTTCTGAAGAAGATTGCCTATGGAATTGCCATTCCCACCGTAAGTAAACCAACTGATGAATTTGTTCGTTCCACGAACACTAACATCTCCACAGATTGTCGGTGCCGGTGTCGTTAATGGTCACATTGGCTTGAAGTACATCTACTTCCGCACTTGCTCCAAGTCGGGTCTCATCCACAGCCGTAGCCGCCGCTCGGTCCTTGTCTGGATCGCCTTGGGCTTGGCCTGCTGGCTGGTTGCCTGGATTATCGCCGAGGCCATCCCTGTCTTCAGCGACCTCAACTCTCTGATTGTAAGTCACCTACTTCCCTGCACAGTTTCATCTCGTGCCGGTCGCTAATGTCATAATTCAGAGCGCTCTCTTCGCTAGTTGGTTCAGTTATGGTCTCAGTGGTATCTACTGGCTCCACCTTAACTACGGCCAGTGGTTTGCCAGCCCCCGCAAGATCGCCCTGACCGTGCTGAATGCCGGTATCGCCGTGTTCGGTTTGGTGCTGTGTGTCCTGGGTCTCTATGCCTCGGGAACAGCCATCCACAACGATGCCAACAGCAACAGTTTCACCTGTGCCAACACGGACAGCTGAATGTGCATCTATATATATAGACTTTACATCATTAATGGCGTTTATGAGCGAATTCTTTTGCCGCGTGTCTGGGACCGCGGCAGATGACGGCGTGACGGGTTTATTTGCATGACGGACTAGCTAATGATTTATTCATGAGTACATAATATGTTATCATCTATCTTCCTATCTATTACTTCAAGGTTGTCCTCTGTAGTGGAGTTATCCGGTCGCAATTCGTTGTACCCTGATCCACGGTGGGTATGTAACTGCTTGTCTGAAGATTGAAGCTCAGAACAGTCTAAAGTCCAAGCCAGGGGTTAAACTTTCCTTGTATGTGATTAAAGATTGAGTAATAGGTCTCAATATCCTACACTAACAGCAGACGATTGATTGAGTACTAGCACAACTGCAAGTATGAACAGGAGGCGAACTGGGATTATGCGTGCTGATTAAGCGTGATCTGCATAACTAGCAACAACACTATACCCTTTACAGTTAGATATTCTGTGCTATTCTTCATGCCTCAGGCATACAGGCAGCACCTTGCGATCCAAACCAACTGCTGGCAGCCGGCGATATCCAACCATCCTGAATACTTCCCTTCCGGCTGTCTACTGTTGACAGTAATTGTCGCCATGACCACGCGTGCAGACTTGGTCACTCAGGCTTGTGATATCTGCCGGAAGCGCAAGGTCAAATGCAATGTGACTTCGTCATCGACCGATGCCCCTTCCAGATGTGGGCGCTGTGCTAGACTGGACCTGCCGTGCACCTTTCTATCCCCATCCCGGACGCGAGGCCCGAAGAAACGGTACGTTGCTCGAGTCTCCTTCTGCAGTGAGTGATCATTGCTAACATACACTCCAAGTTCACGTACAAGATCTCCGGCACAAACGCAGCCAGATGGAGAGACTGGGGAGGCCCGGGTATTGGGTGCCATCAATTATCCCACGGATGATTTGTGCGATCGACACCTATTTTCCGGCATCATGCAGGACTATTTGGATTACCTGTATCCCCTGATTCCAATAGTGCATCGGCCGTCGTTTCGACAGTCTTTGCAGGAGAACCTTGATCGCGAGGACAGCGGATTCCTTGGGCTCGTCACCGCCATCGCTGCGGTGGTCATCGCTACAATGCCTAGCAGATTCCATTCATATCGATGTGCGACCCCGCCCTTGAGGTTCACGTCACGAAGGGACATGGTCCGTCATTGCTATGACAAAATTTTGCGGCTGAGGGATTCGACCTACTTCGACCACATCAACTTCCAAAAGTTTGCCATCTCGTACTTGCTGTATGCTGCATTTCGGCAGTTGGGTGACCATAATTGGTCCCGTATGTTAGATGTGGAGGCAACACAACTTGCTCGCTTGCTAAACCTCCATCGCATCTCTGAATATGATGGGCTTAATTGCATCGAGACTCAACTGCGGAAGAAGGGCTTTTGGTTGATTTTCTACGGATTCGTGTAAGTGGGCATGACCCGGAGAGTAGCTGTCTTGCTCATTTCATTCAGCCATAATCAACTGCAGAATGTGCTAGGAGAGCGATTGTCGTACCTGGATCCCATCCTTCTCCATTCCATTAATCCGGAAGATCTCATGCCACTCGAAGTTGATGACGAAATGATCTTCGAGAACGAGGTGCTTATGCCACCAGCCCAAAGTCCATGCCTGGTAACGGGCTTTATCCTCCACTCCAAGGTGTTCTGGGCCGCGATCAGGAGCACCTGTCCAGAATCACCGGCTGGCCCGTGTCCCTGCGTGAGGGCCCGCGATCCAGCCGTGCAAATTTCTTACATCCAGGATCGTCTTCACAATTTACGGTTCTTACTGGATGATATCCCACCTCTCCTCCGGCCATGGCAGCCATCGGATACCGAGTCTATCGCTAACGGTGGGAGTTCTGGTGTGACGGAGATGACGAAGTCACATTTTGCTTCTATGCGAGTAAATCTACATGTCACACACCTGTGGCTACAAAGCTTGCTTGTTGATCAGCTGGAGGCGGCGCAAGCGCACAAATCAGAGCTATCTTTAACATCTATCGACCATGCACAACCAATGCTTGATGCAAAGGCGTTGTGGCTCCAGAGGGAGGATCTTTGTCGTCAACTATTCTGCATACTATTCAGCCTGCCCCAGATCAACCTGGAAGCGAACGGTCTACATTTGGCGCACAAAGTGCGTGATATCGCGGCGGGCCTGCTGGTTTGCCCATTTCATCCTGCTGGCCCGGAAGCGGAGCGAGCAACCGAGTACCTACGACAGTCAACCGACATCCTGTCCCGCATAGACAGTAGCGAAAGCATGGTCACAATGCATCTACAAACCTGGATAGATACAGATCGAATAAAAGGTCGTTCATAATAGTGGCAGCGTGCTATTTCTTGCTACCCAGCCCCACTCAGAGTCCCGACCAGAAAGTGGTCTCACTCAATTCAATGGAGTCCTCCAAGAACGTCCCACGGCTACTGGTTCCAAGCATTATTTGATATGTACCACTGTGACTGCACCAGCTACTGCTCTTCTCATCCCAGAAGCTTGTCGCACGGACAAGATCCAGCGGAATCTGCACCACCTCTTCCTCACCTGGCTCTAACCAGACTTTTCGGAAACCCTTTAGCTCCTTCAGTGGCCGCTTGATTGGCGGCGAGACCGGGGTGACATACAGCTGTATCACCTCCGCTCCAGTTCTGGATCCGGTATTACGCAACGTGCACGTGGCTTGCAGTGAACATGCCTCCCTTTCGAGGGACAGCCCCGATAGTTCGAATGTTGTGTACGAGAGACCATGGCCGAAAGGGAACAGCGGATCGATCTCAGCCTCGTCATAGAACCGGTAACCGACATATACGTCCTCACCATATAGGACTCTACCACCCTCAGATCGATAGTTGAAATAGGTGGGGTTGTGTTTGACGTGGCGGGGGAACGTGAGTGGAAGTTTGCCAGACTAAGACATCCGAATGAGTTAGCAGCTCCAGGCCAGCTGGGAAGAAGAACTTACCGGGTTTACGTCGCCGAAGATGACATCCGCAAGGCCGTTGCCAGTTTCGTTACCGCCATACCAGGCGTGAAGCACTGCCTTTGCCTTTTGAATCCAGGGCATCTCCACGGGAGTTCCGCTTTGAAGGACGACAACAGTGTCTGGATTCACCTCCAGTACACGAGAGATCAACTCATCTGTATGTGGCGGCAGGCTCATGCTCGTACGATCCTCGCCCTCTGATTCCCATTCCGCACTCAGACCAGCCACGAGTATGACCTGATCAACCGATGCAGCCAGCTGCACTGCCTCTTCGATGCCTTTAGAAGGCGAGAGCTGCTTACAGGCGCCGAATCGGAAGCCACCGTGACCAAAGTCGACTACCCCGGGGACCTTAAACGTGCTGGTTTTAGCACACCCCCACTGCACATGGATCTTGTACTGCCAACCGGCCGTGAGCTCCAACGTGCCTCTTTCTTCCATGGTGCCGCTCCCAAGGAAGCTAGACCCCGGCCTTTGTACATCAGCGTTATTGACTAATAGGTTTCCATCCACATAGAGCTTGCCCGTCCCTTGCACACAAAGGCCAAAATCGTATAGGCCGGATTCCTCTGGGACAAAGTATCCCTCCGCGTCTGCAAACCACACGGGTTGCAGCTCTGGGTGGTTGTAATCAAGGAAGAATACCATCGAGTCCGTCTCGTGTCGTTCCTCGAGTGGTACTCTGTTCGCTACGGTGGGAGGGTCATTGAAGATTTTCAGGGTGAATCCAGTACGGCCATCCTGAGTCCGCAGGCGCGTCCCCAGCAAGGGTTGGTTTTGGTGTCCGTATATCCCCTGAGCGAACTCCACGCCGCCGGAAGCCGAGTTCGAAATCCCCTCAAAGGGAGTTACAGCTTGGTAGGGATTGAGCGCTGCACTGCCCCCTCCACAGTAGGTAGCAATCTTGGAATTAGGACCGATGACGGCTATTTTCTTGGTCTTGTCCAGAGGCAGAATGCCGTCATCGCTCTTCAGGAGGACAACTGCCTCTGAGGCGATCTTCCTGAGTAGCCGTCTATCCTCGGCACGGTTCAGCTGCAACTCCGGCGCACGCTCAGGAATACCCGATCGGCTGGCTTGCTGGACCAGACGCAGCACAGCACGAACACGGGCATTGACCGTCGCCATGGGAATCTTGTTTGCGGTAATGGCATGTGACAGAGCACTGCCGCGCCATCTTGTCGGCCCTGGCATTTCGAGATCGAGTCCAGCGTTGATGGCCTCGGATGTGCTATATGTTCCAAACCTGCCAGCGAGTCAGCGACGAAAAGGGTTAAATCAAGCGTGATCACGAATCAGGAAACCTTACCAGTCGCTCATCAACAGACCCTCCCATCCCCATTCTTCACGTAAGATGTCTTGAAGAAGTGTTGAACTCTCCGATGCATGAAGCCCGTTTACCTTGTTGTATGCCGTCATTATGGCTTCGGGCTTTCCCAGAGAAATTGCGATCATGAATGGCAGAAGATAGATTTCCCTCAGCGCCCGGTCGGTGAGAATGGAATTGACAGCCATTCGCTCATGCTCCTGGTCATTGCATACGAAGTGTTTGAGCGTTGCAATGATGTTCTCCTCCTTTAAGCCTTTGCAATAATGACCTGCTATTGTTCCTGACAGCAGCGGGTCCTCAGAGAACGACTCGAACCCCCGCCCTCCCAGAGGACCTCGCTGGATGTTTATCGTCGGGCCAAGGACAACGTGGGCGCCTTTGGCCTTGGCCTCTGCCGCTAGCAGATGGCCAACCTGAACAGCGAGATCTTCATCAAATGTCGCTCCAATGGCCGTACCACAGGGCAGACAAGCTGCTGGCACGCTGCCAAAGAAGCGGGTGCCACGGACGCCATTCGGGCCGTCAGACAGGCGTATTGATGGGATCCCGAGCCGGGGAATTGGAACGGTGTGCCAGAAATCGTCACCTAGCCAGAGGCAGTCAGCTTTCGGTCATAGTTAGAAAGAAGCGGTGCATCGTGGGCATACCCGTTAGCAGGGCAACTTTCTCATCTAGGGTCAGTTGCTTGATGAGCTCCTCAATATCGGCGTTTGCGATTTGAACAAAGGACTTGTCCGTCTCGGCGGCGGCATGTACGCAAGGCATGATGCGTGCAGTCTGCTACAGCGTGTGGTTGGGGAATGGTGTGTCGGAGCTGAGGCAGAATGCTCGCAGACTTCCACGTCCATCTTGTGCAGCCCTGGGGGCACCAACTAGTTATGTCCTCGCAGATGTGCGGAAGGACATAGCAGTGCGTCTTACGGAGGAGTACATGGGAGCTCGCACAGTGCCGACCGAGGCCAGCATGGATGGGGTGATCTCTGGGTCGACGGGCCAGCTCCACCAGCTCCGCGAGTTCTGATTGATTCTTCAACAGCCATCCAGTCCCATTGACTGGCTTCAGAGCTCCTCTAATTCTCCGTTTCTCCTTTTCTCCGTTTCTCCGTCTGTTCTTCCCCGACTCCTTGCCGTTGCCCTACCCCAACTTCCCCCAGTTCTCCACACTGTCCTCGTGCCGTTTCCCAGATAACCGTGCGTCTGTGGGTTAAGCACCATGATGAGCCGTCCAGCGTCTTTCGTGTCATGAGTATGGGTATAGCCGCCTCGCTACGATTGGCGGTTTTGACATGGCTTGGTTCCGGATTATTCGCAGGGTACAAGTTCGCTAATAGCATCAGTGGCTTCGTTCAGCAGCCGTCGTGTCCCAGAAGAGCCACACGAGACGTAGCTAGCGGGGTGGGAAGGAATAAACCGCCGACGTATAGGCGCCTCTCAGGCCATCCTTGAAATAGCCTGCGATTCCTCGGTTCTGCCTATGCCGAGTTCACTGTCTTCGTCAACGTTGGAACCGACAATGGGCATCACCAAAACAGACACATCGAGCAAGCATGCAGGAGAAGATCACCTCGCGGCGGTCCTCCCTTCAGGTCCTGCATGGTACAAGCAGCCTCATTTGCTGCGACTCAACCTCATCATTCTTTCATTGGTTATGTTCTCATCCGCCAACGGCTTTGACGGATCTCTCATGAACGGTCTTGAAGCCTTGGACCAGTGGAAAGCCTTTATGAACAATCCTACTGGAGCAAAGCTGGGATGGCTGAATGCCATCTACTGGCTTGGCTGCGGCATTGGCTACCCAAGTGCATCCTGGATTGCCAATCGATATGGGCGCAAGCCAGGGGTCTACCTCGGATACCTCTTCCTGACGCTGGGCTGCGCTCTCCAGACTGCTGCCCCCAATGCAACTGCGTTTATGCTTGCTCGTCTCTTTCTGGGAGGCGCGTCTGCCCTGTTTGGCAATGCCGTTCCTTTGCTCATCAACGAGGTTGCCTACCCGACTCACCGCAGCATTTTCAACTCGCTGTTCATGTCTGGATGGTATGTGGGTGGGACGGTCGCTGCTTGGGTCGTCTTTGCCTCTCGTACCTACAGCTCTTCCTGGGCTTGGCGACTCCCTTCTGTCCTCCAGGCCCTAGTGCCTGTTGTTGGATTACCGGGGTTCCTTCTGGCCCCGGAAAGCCCTCGCTGGCTGATCTCGGTAGGCCGCAACGAGGAGGCTCGGGCAATCCTAACGCGCTACCACGCTGCCGGCGACGAGAGCTCTCCCCTTGTGGCATATGAATTCTCCGAGATCACTTCGACCATCCAAGCGGAGCAAGAAGCCCATAGCAGTGGAAGCTACATAGAGATGGTGAAGACACCGGGTAACCGATGGCGCCTGATGATCTCTATTACTTTGGGACTATTCGCGCAGTGGACCGGCAACGGAGTGATCTCGTATTACCTGTCGCTCATCTTGGACTCAATCGGAATTACCACTGTCCGTGACCAGACACTCATCTCGGCCTGTCTGCAGATGTGGGATCTCATCTTTGCTATTTTAGGAGCGTTCCTGATCGATAACTTTGGTCGCCGTCCACTGTTCCTTTCCTCAGCGGGCATCATGTTCGTCAGTTACGTGCTGGTGACAGCGCTCTCAGGGTCATTCCAGACCACTAACAATGCGGCCACGGGGGCTGCTGTGATCCCGTTCCTTTTTATCTACTTTTCAGGATACTGCATTGCTTTGTTAGTACCACCACCACCAGCAGTAGCTTCGTGTTTATGCTAATGTGGTCTAGGACACCATTCTTAACTTCGTACCCCTGCGAAATCTGGCCGTACCGACTACGATCCCGCGGTCTGACCGTGACTTGGGTGGCGACGATCAGCGGCATGTTCTTCAATACATTTGTGAATCCGATTGCTCTGGATGCGATTGGGTGGCGGTATTACATTGTGTTTATTGTGGTGCTGGTGCTGTTTGCAGTGACTGCATTCTTCTTCTATCCGGAGACAAAGGGATACTCGTTGGAGCAGGTGGCAATAATCTTTGATGGGCCGGTAGAGAGAGAAGAGGATGAAGAGAAGCGGCTGGAAGAGAAGAAGGTGAATAGTGTTCATGAGGAGAGAGTTGCGGCCTGATACTATATACGACGAATGATACTACAATCCTCGATCCAACACCCGCTCCACCTCCGCAGGCAAATCATAATCAAACACCTCCTGCTGCTGCCTCGCAACCAACCCAGGAAACAACCCTACCCACATTAGCATGTTCCTCTCTCTCTCTCATCAACAGCCCAGGAAGTAGATAGACATACCCATAACCCACATAACCCAATACATCACCCACTCCCCCCATCCGCCCATATCCCTCTTACTATTCTGCATCCCCCTCGCCGTATCCAAAATCCGCTTAACCCTCGGCATCCTCATCTCCACATAGCTCTTACACGCCATCTGAATCGCCCTCTTCTCCCCCTCCACCCCACCACCAGATTCCCCAGACATGCCCCCCAACGCTTGTTCCTGATACCAAACCCCAACCTCATGCCCCAACAACCTCGCCAACGCCTCCACATCCTCCAACGCCTGACTCGCCCCCTGGCCCGACGTCGACGGCAACGCACGCGCCGCATCCCCCACCAACACCACGCCCTCCCTCTCCCACGTCGGAAGCTCGGGAGTGGTAAAGGTAGGCCACATAGTCTGCACCTCGACGGAGTTGATAATATGGAGCACAAGGGGGTCAGTCCAGGTGGAGAATCTCGATTTCAATTGGGATTTCACGTCATCCACATCTACATCCCTCCCATCGGGAGGAGTAGGTGTTGAGTAGGTCGTCCACCAAACCAAGGTATCCCCCGGTTCGGAAACATGATACGCTGAAGAGCGAGTCGGGGATGTAGATGAGCTGGTGGCATAGAAGTAGCCGAAGAAGCCTGTCCCGCTGAAGTGGAGGTTTAGGGAGCCGGGTTCTATACCACCGATAGTGGTGGTGATGGTGGAAGTGGGTAGGAAGCCGCCGATGCCGATGAGGCCTCTTTCAATTATATCATATAGTATTAGTAAATATACTTCACTTCACTTTCATGAGATAGATATGTAGGGGTAGGGTAAATACTCATATCTCGGCCCACCCAACCCATCCCCCTCACCATCAAGTATACTCTGTTGTCGAACCACACTCCTCAACCCATCCGCCCCGACCACCAAATCCGCATACACAGGTTCACTCCCATCGACGAACGTGACCGTATTCCGCTGGGTAGGATGGGTAATCACCCTCGCTACGCGCTTGTTATACACGATGATGTTCTCCGGGATGCGCCTGCGCAGGCAGAGCCAGAAGTTGTGCCGGCTTGTGCCGAGGAGGTGGAGTGCTCTGTTACTTCCACTACTTTCATTACTTCCGCTGTCGCTGCTGCTGGATGATGATGATGATGGCAGTTGGATTAGTGTCTTCCCGTGCTTATCTTTCAGGTTGGTGTGGTCGAGCATGTAGCCGCTGGTGACGGCGTCGCGGAGGATGCTCTCGTCGAGGCGTTCGAGGACGCGCAGGCCGTTCGGGGCGATGCCGAGGCCGCCGCCGACTGTTATTTTGTTGGTGGGGTTAGGGGACTTGGTGCTGGGGTATGCTTCGTAGATGGTGAATTCGTGGTCTTGGGTCGGTGATGAGGGGGGTGGTGGGGGGAGGTGTTTTCGGAGGGTGAGGTATGCGGCGCAGCCGGAGATGCCGGCGCCGACGATGATGATTTTCATGGTTGGTTGTTGTTTTTGAGGTGTAGCTGTAGGTAGGTTAGGTGTTGGTGGACGTGGGGATAAGCTTGTGGTGGGGAGTCATGATGATGTTGTTGCCTACGGGATGAGCCGATGGTCGGAAGTTTATTACTTGCTACGTGGTTGGGGTCTACTTTGGTTCTGGGTATAGAGTTTGATAGATCGGGTGGTGGTTTGGCATTATGTTCACACTAATGTACAATGTACAGAAGGACGTTTACTTAAAAACGCACTAGTAGATCGGAATGTCATACGCATCCAGATCATACAACCATGTGTCAATCGACTTCTGGTCGTATACGCACTCCATCTCCGTGCCGTTGTTCTTCCACAGAGGACGCAGAGGCCACGAGCAGATCTTCTGCTCCTCTCCCTCGAGATCGCCGCTCAGCACGGTGCCGTTCAGAGTCACCGGCTCAATGCCCTTCTCGACCCAGTTCATCAGGTCGCCGAGGGAGTTCTGGGGGTAAGGTCCGTTGGGCTGCAGGGAGTTGGTGTTGCAGTGGGAGGCACCGGGAACGAGGTAGAGACGGTAGAACTCGTTCAGGGCTTCAACCGAGGCGTTGTAGGTCTTGTTGGGGAACATGGTATCGCGGACGGACTCGAAGTAACGCACCGAAGACGCAGGAGGGATGCTGTTGTCCGATTCACCGTGGTAGTGGATGACCTTGCCGCCTGCAGCCTGGAAGCGGGACAGGTCGGGCCAGGTGGTCTGCAGGACATCCTCGTAGCGCTGGAGACCCTCGAGCATCCAGTCACGCAGAGTGTCGTAGGTGACGTTGTCCAGAGTCGAGAGGTTGTCAAGGTCCAGCAGCTGCAGTCCGTGAGTCACCCACTCACCACCCAGCTCAGAGATGTCGATACCGTAGGTGCCGGTGGTCGAGTCGTAGGTGGTCTCTGCATCGGTGAACTCCGAGCCAATGCGGTACCAGAAGTAGGCCTGACGACCCTGAGAGTCCTTCAATCCATCCAGGATGGTCTGAGCGACGCGCACACCCTCCGCCGTGATGGTGCCGTTCTGGGCCGGGGTGGTCACGCCCATGCTGGTGGTGGCGTTGCAGGCGTAAGGCTTACCGATGGTGGACTTGAGGTCAAAGTTGAGCTGGCACAGATCGGTGCGGCCGATGACGCCGTCCTTGCGACCATCGAGTTCATCGCAGGCGTTAATGATCAGAGTCACCATCTCGGAG